TCGTGGCCACCCGTTACACCTTCATTTTCAACTCAAAAGTTGAATAATTTTGCTCAGTGACAAGTTTGTCTTGATCTATTGGATATATAAATTTATGAAGAAAAAACTTCAAGACTTAATATATCATCTTATACTATCCTAGTATAGGGTGGTAATTAGTGGTAGACGATGATAAAATGTGGTAAATAACAGTTAGTATATTTTTACTGTCATGTATACAACCATTCTACAGTCTATACTGTCGTATATTCATACCACGTGGTATTGTCTTATATACATACCAAGTGCTACCACGTGGTATAAACAGGTAATAAAAGTTCCAATTTTTTCTTCCAAAATATACAAAAAAGATTTCATTTTGAAGAACACAATTATATCTTATTTTTATATAAATTTTTTAAATTTTAACTTAATTTGAAAGATATACAATTCGTTAAATTTATTGGGGAAAGTTACTAGTCTTTCAAAAATGGTAAGTATCGGGTTATGCAAGGTTATGCACATAAGTTTATCACGGGATCCGCTCTCAGTAGAACGGCTCAAGATAGGGTGCATAACCATGGGTTATGCACCCATCAATAACCAAATCTGGACCCTTCATTTAGAAAATCCAGATCTAAGGATGGAGAATTAAAGGCTATTTTTATTTTCACTAGCTTTCTTAATTGACTCATATCTTTTTCGTTTTAACTCGGATTTTAATTTTTTTTGCACAGATGGAACGAGTTCACCGTGCTCTACAAAATGAGATCAATTTTCAATATTTTTTTAGGAAAAAAAATTCTGGCCTCTCGGTACCAACTGCATACCATATGGTATCTTCTTCATTTTTAATTCGTTTTTGAAAACGTTTGCACAGTAGGGATGAGTTCATCATGATCTACTGGATCTACAAATTTCTGGGTGAACAAATTACAGGACAAAAAAATACCACACAATACCATACAATACCACCCTGGTACGGGGTGGTATTGTATGGTATCTTCTTCATTTTTAATTCGTTTTTGAAAACGTTTGCACAGAAGGGACGAGTTCATCATGATCTATTGGATCTACAAATTTCTGGGTGAACAAATTACAGGACCAAAAAATACCACACAATACCATACAATACCACCCTGGTACGGGGTGGTATTGTGTGGTATACAATGTTAAAAGTCGTAAATTACAATTAATATACTTCTACTATCATGTATTCAACCATCCTACAGTATTGGTTTGTTCATACCACCATGGTACGTTTTTCAAAACATAGGTATGCTTTTATTTCAATACCAGTCAATACCATATGGTATAGGGTGGTAAAAAATGGCTCAATTTTTTTTGTTCGAAAAATATATTAAAGTGGATATCAGTTTGAAGAGCACAATTAATCTGATCTAACTGTGCAAAAAAAATTAAATTTCAACTTAAAATGAGCGAGAAATCGTCCGTCAAAGATTAAAGAGGGAAAAATTAAAGGCTTTCCATGAGAGAGAGGATGCTGATGTCATGCTGATGTGGACGGGTTACTCATGGTTACTCACCATAAGATTACTGACCTGATCCATTCCCCAGTAGAACTAGTGATGCAGCCGATGAAAACAAAAAAAGAAATGTGAGAGGGACCAGGTTGGTTATGGATTATATATAATTTTTCTACAATTAAATTTAATAGGTTATAGGGGAATGGATCAGGTGAGTAACCTTATGGTGAGTAACTATGAGTAACCCGTCAACATCAGCATGACATCAGCATCCTCTCTCTCATGGAAAACCTTTAATTTTTCCCTCTTTAATCTTTGACGGACGATTTCTCGCTCATTTTAAGTCGAAATTTAATTTTTTTTGCACAGTTAGATCAGATTAATTGTGCTCTTCAAAATGATATCCACTTTAATATATTTTTCGAACAAAAAAAATTGAGCCATTTTTTACCAGCCTATACCATATGGTATTGACTGGTATTGAAATAAAAGCATACCTATGTTTTGAAAAACGTACCATGGTGGTATGAACAAACCAATACTGTAGGATGGTTGAATAAATGATAGTAGAAGTATATTAATTGTAATTTACGACTTTTAACATTGTATACCACACAATACCACCCCCGTACCAAGGTGGTATTGTATGGTATTGTGTGGTATTTTTTGGTCCTGTATTTGTTCACCCCGAAATTTGTAGATCCAATAGATCATGATGAACTCGTCCCTTCTGTGCAAACGTTTTCAAAAATGAATTAAAACGAAGAAGATACCATACAATACCACCCCGTACCAGGGTGGTATTGTATGGTATTGTATGGTATTTTTTTGTCCTGTAATTTGTTCACCCAGAAATTTGTAGATCCAGTAGATCATGATGAACTCATCCTTGCTGTGCAAACGTTTTCAAAAACGAATTAAAAACGAAGAAGATACCATATGGTATGCAGTTGGTACCGAGAGGCCAGATTTTTTTTTTCCTAAAAAAATATTGAAAATTGATCTCATTTTGTAGAGCACGGTGAACTCGTTCCATCTGTGCAAAAAAAATTAAAATCCAAGTTAAAACAAAAAAGATATGAGTCAATTAAGAAAGCTAGTGAAAATAAAAATAGTCTTTAATTCTCCATCCTTAGATCTGGATTTTCTAAATGAAGGGTCCAGATTTGGTTATTGATGGGTGCATAACCATGGGTTATGCACCCGGCTCAAGTTAGGGTGCATAACCATGGGTTATGCACCCATCAATAACCAAATCTGGACCCTTCATTTAGAAAATCCAGATCTAAAGATGGAGAATTAAAGCCCATTTTATTTTCACTAGCTTTCTTAATCGACTCATATCTTTTTCATTTTAACTCGGATTTGAGTTTTTTTTTGCACAGATGGAACGAGTTCATCGTGCTCTACAAAATGAGATCAATTTTCAATATTTTTTGAGGAAAAAAAAATTATGACCTCTCGGTACCAACTACATACCATATGGTATCTTCTTCGTTTTTAATTAGTTTTTGAAAACGTTTGCACAGTAGGGACGAGTTCATCATGATCTATTGGATCTACAAATTTCTGGGTGAACAAATTATAAGACAAAAAAATACCACACAATACCATACAATACCACCCTGGTACGGGGTGGTATTTTATGGTATCTTATGGTATACAATGTTAAAAATCGTAAATGACAATTAATATACTTCTACTATCATGTATTCAACCATCCTACAGTTTTGGTTTGTGTCATACCACCATGGTACGCTTTTCAAACCATAGGTATGCTCTTATTTCAATACCAGTCAATACCATATGGTATAGACTGGTATAAAATGACCGATTTTTTTTGTTCGAAAAATATATAAAAGTGGATATCATTTTGAAGAGCACAATTAATCTGATCTAACTGTGCAAAAAAAATTAAATTTTGACTTAAAACGAGTGAGAAATCATCCGTCAAAGATTAAGGAGGGGAAAATTAAAGGCTTTCCAGGAGAGAGAGGATGCTGATGTCATGCTGATGTGAGCGAGTTACTCATAGTTACTCACCATAAGGTTACTGACCTGATCCATTCCCTATGCACCCTATCTTGCTCTTTCATTTTATGTAGAAACATATTGTTTTGTTTTGATATATTTTGGAAAAAAACGATTGACACTTATATATCAGTCTATACCACAAGAGTAATATTTAATACTATACAAGATCATAAGCTCAAAAAATCCTTCCACAACTTAGCAACTGATCTTATTAGCTCAAAGGTTGCCCATCTCGAGCGGCGGATTAAGGGGCCGCCCTCGGGCGACGGCCCAGCCCTCTCCGAATCTAGAGCTAGTATAGTCCTTATAAATTTTCGATTTTAGGTATTCATTTTAGTGTTCGTTGGGTTACGACCCAGTATTTTTTGCCTCTTTTGAAATGTAGCCCAGTGCTCTACGCTATCTTGGATCCGCCGTTGCTCATCTCCTCTATTTACGCACACATATATAGCCTATAGGCAATTAGGCATTCTCCAAGGAACCCTACCCTAAAGTATGGTATGCATATGTACACAAACATAAATCCCCCATTTTTATTTATTTATTTACAAACATAAATCCCATTTAAGTCCTCACGTATACGGTATATCCTTATCCCATACACATAATTATGGGACACAAAGCCCAAGCAGAAACGGTGTTACACTAATAGCCTCCCATATTGGTGGAGGTTTCGCATCATCAATTTGCTAGCAAAAAACAGATAGACACAAAGTGATGGATTTTGTGAAAAGATCAGCAACGTGATATTCAGATGCAATATATAATAGTTGAACCATCTTATTACAATTTAGATCACGTATGTAATGAACATGCATCTCAATATACTTCGGATCATAGAGAACCAGATTAGTGACATTCCGAAGTGCATTAGTTTTACCAACAAATAACGACACAGGAATGGCACAAGTCACCCAAAAATCTCCTAGTGGCTGGTGCTACCACCCTAGTTTATAGCAGTGTCCATGAAACCGTACCGTACTGACGGTTCAACCACGAAATACCAGTATAGGAGGCTAAACCGGTAGGCGGTATTTAACGGTATAATGGTTGAACTATGGTTAAACCACGGTTTTACCATAAAATACCCTAAAACTTACTTTCCCGGTACGATCTCCGGTACGGTTTCATGGACCATGGTTTATAGACCACATCGGACTTGGCGTGATATTTTGTTGCTTTAGAAGATTTGTCCACAAGATCCTGCTTTTTACATCTCCATGAAATAAAAGAATCTCCAAGTGCTTATTTTTGTATGACATTAATGTAATTTTGAAGTTATTTTTAATTTTAAAATAATAATGATCTTACATCAATAACTGATGGTGATAATGGTTAAGTGGAACTATTAAGGGCAAATGAGCAAATTTGACATTTGATATGGTTCAGTCAATGATTGGACTTAATTTAACGATTTTTGAATGAAAAATCTAACATAAAGATAAGTTTAATATTTTGTGATAATAGAGGTGTACATTTGATGTGAAAGATAATAGAAGACAAGTTTGAAAAAATATAGTAAATGGATAAATTATACTATTAAACCTTCTTATTATTACCAGTTATACTTAAATAAAGAGGACAAAGAATAAGAAGCAGCAAACTGACTGGCTTCTATTGCACTCCCCCTGTCCCCCACACATCCACATTTAAGCCCCCTATAAACAACACATACGTGGAAGCGTTTCTACTTTCTACGGATCTTTCTTTTATCATATTGCTTTTCCAGCAAGAAACCGGCTGTAGAAGTTAAGTGCTTCTTTTGGTTTGTATTCTGGAACAGTATGACCAGCGCCCTGCAAGCCATGAAAATCCAACAAGGGTTAGTTTAGATTAACAGAAACTTTCAAGGAAGACGCGTATAGGTTTGGTTCTTTAATTCCCACATTACCTTGATGGTTAAGAAGGTGAGGTTGTTCTCATACCCTTGAGTGTACCTGCAAACATCAACCAACGCTTTCAGGATTGAACACACAACAGCAGAAACGTGGAGAACAAAGTTTAATGATGGGAAGAAACTGCATATATATTCATACCCAGCAACTTCTCCATTTGAAATCCAAGGTCTCCATTTGTCGACGATCTTGTATCCCATTGCTCTCGTCCATGCTTCACTCCCAGTGAACGGAACACACATGTCATGATCCCCACTGGTTTTTTTTTTTTTTACCACCAAAACACGGTAACAAGAATCCATCACATTGAACCAAATGCTATGTTCGAAGAACATGAAAAACTCGACCTGGTTTCTTAAGAGTTTGATGCTGAACAGCAGCTGCCATCTGATAAACTACCTGAAAATGAGTGCCCTATAGCCTTTCAAAGTCAGGTTCCTGTGGTACTTCATCATGCTGCCAGCGTCATGGTGGAATTTGATTCTACCAGTACACAGCTCCCAATCCCCAGCTACGTTTTTCTGTCATCACCCAAGTAATAGTCACGACTCACATCGATCAAATGGACTGAAAAATGTTACATCTTAAAGCGTATTTAGCATTAAGAGAGGACAACATACTGGTTTAGCATTGATTGCTTCCCTAACTGCTTCATTGTTGAGCCATTCGGTAGCAACTTCATCATCCTTACATGGGAAACATATAACAGAATCTCACATAAAACCCGAAATACTGCAGGAAAAACAGAGAAGACAAAATGGGGGAAATCACTAACTACTGTTCCTTACAGTGCAAGGAACGGTAAGGCTGCTAAGGAGCTCTGGCCAAGTTGGAACGATTCCTTCTCTTACGTTAGCTCGAAATGGCCAAGCACGACCAAACATCCTTGTCCGGACAGGAAGAGGTCGTTCTGTTGCACCTAATTCCAAGAAACTGGATGGCAGTCTGATTTTGTTATCTGCTGCATCTTTAGCAGCGCTGTCATGATAGCATGGTTCTAGGATGTCGTATATGTTTAGACCTTTAACTTGCTGTCAAAATAGAACAATCATGTTGAAGATGCAGGAGTTTAATGAGACCAATTCTCAAACTGCTTCTGAATGATAGGTTTGGCTGTTACCCTATCAACTTCTTGCAGTTTCTCCTCACAAGCTCTCTCGAGTGGATTATAGAAATTTCCATTGCACTCACGGTTCGTCTCCTGCAGAGCATTTGAACGAACCTATCAGAGTCATGCAAGTCTTTAACGTGCCCTTCAACAAAAAAGGCGATTAAGAACACTAGATGAAACATTTTGATCGGTTAGTAAGAAATTCCAACCCGCTCGTTAAAGTTAATGACAAAGCATCATTTTAAATCCATACTAGCAGCTCATCAAACTTATAAAACCCACAATCCAAAATTTACACCACCAGAATTTCACCCCAAAAGTTTTCATTTCCAAATCCAGGTATGCAACAAATTTTTTGCCACTGGTATGAAATAGAGTACTCGACACACCTGATACAGGTCATCTGAGATAAGGCCCATCCCATGGGCAAACGGAACAAGAGCATTGCCATCAAATGCTTCGTCAGTGACTCCATTTCCTACCATATAACCCTGCACAAAATGCAATGCTTATTATTTTCAACATCTGTGGCCTTTGAGGGTTTTTACTTTGCAGGATGAAAGAATTCAGTTGGAGCTAAGCCTTGAAAAGAGATGATTTCCATATTTTTGGTACCTTCAGATTGATGACAGGCTTCACACCAGCATCAATTCCTGTAAATAGAACCAAACCCTCGTTTTGATATCTTGTCACAAGATATGGATGACTTGAACAAGTAGAGAAAAGAAAGACAGTACCTTTGGCAACTTCATTGGCAAGAGTTGGGACGTAAACTCCAGCATATGACTCTCCAGCAATGAAAAAAGGGTTTGAAAGGAATTCCGGGTATAGCTCAAACCACTGAATTGCAGGAATTAGCACATTTTCGATACCATAAGCACACAACAAAGTAATGATCTTCAATACCAGAATTTTCCATTCACTTTGAATACCTTCAAGACGAAGTCATGGGAATCGGTTGCAGTTTTTAGATCACCAGTTACGTATTCTGATATGTCGTCGGCATAAGAAAGACCAACACCAGCTGGAGAGTCTACGTATAGAACACTTGAAACCTAGAATTCAAAAGATCACATTTTCAGGAGAAGAGAAAAGAATTCAACTTCAAGCACTGCAAATTATCAACTCTTAACGTTAGGGTCAAAACGGAAAAGTTAAGTAAACCTTGGACCAACTATATGGGTTCAGATGCAACTTGGGTAGACCTTGCTTTGTCTTCTCGAAATTGAAAGGACCTGCACAGTGCATATAGACGTATCTCTCAAGTCAAGTATACAGTCAATCTAACTAGCAATCTTCAATCCCATTCGCTTTAGAAACAAAGAACAAACAAAAAAAGTCCTATCAGAGTTACTTCTTACTGATCAATGTTTCAACTATAATTTAGCTGCACTAAATGTCTTGAAGAATCACTCGTATCCAATTGAGATTAACCATACCATGTTCATACACAAATCCATCGAAGCTAGAGCATCCAGGGCCACCATTAAGCCAGAGAACCAGAGGATCCTTGGTCGGGTTCCCTTCCGATTCGACCAAATAGTAGAACAATTTCTTCCCTGTCTCTTCATTGATCGTCACATACCTTTGAAAACCCAAACCCAAAAAAGGAAAACAGAGAAAACCCGTTATTTCAAATCAAACAAGAATACAGACATCAGGACCCTTCTAAGCATCCCATTTCCAGAATTCCAGGGGCCTAAGAACCCAATACAGAGAACATAAAACTAACCGAGACTAACAACAACACTTGAGTCAAGGAGAGCATACCCGGAGTAGTGCTTGGAAGGGAAAGAGCCAGAGAAGCCGGGAAGCTGAGTGACGAGGGCATTTTCTGGAGCAGAGTGAGCCACTAGGACTGCAAAGCTCAGCAAGATAAACCCTACCTTGTACCAGATGTTAGCCATTTTGAATTGAAACAGATTTCTCGACTTTTCGCAAAGCAAGAAATTTGTTGAAGTAAAGGCGCACTACTATCTACAAGCTCAGGTTCCCATTTTAAGCGTATTTATAATTTTATATATTCCATTAGGTTGCATTTTCTTCCCGGGTTTTCCCATTTTGTTTTTCTTAGAAAGAAAAAGGAATAACAGAAATTTGCTTTGAAGCCAAGATAACATATCGGAAAGGTCGATGGAAAAGCAGTACCGTGGGGAGAAGTTGAAACAAAGGAGTGAATCGGCGGAGAAGACAACCAATTCTAGTGTATGGATTGATGGCGGCAACTTGCTCCGGAATTCAGTGATAAAGAAAACTGACTTTCTATAATCATAAATATCTCCAACCAACGAAATCCGTTCCACGTGAAACAAGTTGTTTGGCGATCGAGATGTTGCTCCTCAAGTCATCCTAATGCAAACAACTTTAATCAAAACATGTTTCTTGAGTCACTAACAAATGTGTTTGTTTGCTGTTATGGTTATGGGAGTAGGAAGGGGTCAAATTTTGGATTGCTTGGAATCAATGGATGACTTCCGAATAAGAAAATAGTAAGAAACAAGAAAAGGGATAATGTCAAGAAACTATTAGTGAAGACAAGCAACTACGTGTGGGTTTTCTGTTTGATCATTCCCTGGATTCTGTTGGTGTCGTCCATCTGTCGCGGCCTGCGCGCTGCTGATTGCCTTTCTTTGCTATTTGCGGCGCGGCCTGTGATTGATGTCTGCTGCTCTTTGTTTTCGCGGCTTGTGTTGCTGTTTTGCTGCACTTTGTTTCTTTGGATTGTGCTTGTGTTACTCTTGTTTGTTTTGAGTTAATTCAATTTATTTCACCATTATAAATATATATATATATATACACGAGAAGAGAATGTATTGCTTTAAGTACAATTGTGTGCTCTATAAATACATTAATAACTAATTTTTTGTTGTTGTCCAACTTGGAAAATTGTGAATCCTCCAAGTGCTTATGTGGCAAGAGATTGCTCTTGAATTGCCATGTATAGATACTAGATTTGGGCAACAGATCGTCTCCTGTTAATACAGCTCCCATCGCAGGCAACGTGTGACTGGATATTGGAAAGTGGTTCGTGGTTCTATCTTGATAACCTTCTCTATCTGCGTCCTTGGGCACCAGGGATTGATGTAGATGATATGGGACGCAGGGCTCTCCCAATTTGGGTAAGATTCTCTAATCTTCCTCTCGAATATGTCAACTACTAGGGGCTTAGCAGGGCAGCTAGCTGGCTAGGTGTACCACTGGGAGTTTATCAGACTACTAGATTGGGTGGGGGGGGGCGACTAGGGTATGCTAAGATTTTGGTGGAACTGCGGGCTGATGGAGATTTTCCAGATCATGTGCTTATCAGGCTTGATGATGAAACTTCCATTAAAGTGGGAGTGACCTATACTCATCTTCCACCTGTGTGCAAGCCTTGTGGACTCTTTGGCATTTGTGATTGCCATAAACAGGTCTGGGTTCGAAAGGAAACGGAGATTGGGCAGAATAGTGGTGCTGTACAGGTGAATCAGGACGATATGCAGGTGGATCAGGGTGGTAATGGTTTAAATAAGGGTAAGGAAGTGGAATCTTCTCCCCTGGTTGATCCTGTAGTCACTCAGGGTCGGTGGGATTCATGATTGGGACCAATATGGTGGGGTTATGTGAGAGTTCGACTAGGGCTTCATCGGCGGCAAACTCACACTTGCAGGGGATTAATCTTGAAAAAAGCTTTGCTGCGGTTGAGTGTGCTTCCCCAGTTTTACCATCTGAAGCTGAATTTCAACTTGTGGTTAATGGAGCCAAGCCACGTATTTGGTCACCACATCCTAGTCCAAACAGTGTACTTCAGGTATCTCACTCCTATGACTTGTTAAGAACTTTGGATGAAGGTGCAGTGGTTACTTTGCAAGCAGCGCCCAGGAAAGGTGGGAAGAAGGGAGGGCCCTTGCCCTCTGCTTCCAAATGATTTTCCTATTCCATAATGTAAGAGGGTTTAATAAACCCTCTAAGCGTAGGGACTTGTATTCAGTCCTTAGGCAGAATAAAGTAGATGTAGTTGCTGTATTAGAAACCAGGGTAAAGAAAAATAAAGCAGTTGAGGTATCTGAGGGATTTTGTTCTGGATGGAAGAGGCACTTGGACTATGTTGATAGTGGATTGGGACGTATTTGGTTATTCTGGAATCCTGAGAGTATAGAATTGAGTATTTTGGTTCCTAGCAAGAATTTTGTTCACTATTTGGTGAAGTCGGTGGAAGGGGAGAGTTGTTTTCTCACTGCCGTGTATGGCTCTAATGACGAAGTGGAAAGGAGAGTCACATACTCTGAGCTGGCTAAGGTCAAGGTTTGCAGTCATCCATGGATAGTTGGGGGGATTTTAATGCAGTATTAAAACCTTCCTCCAAAAGATGTGATTCTACTAGTTGTATGGGAGATTTTGAAAACTGGGTAGATTCAATGGAACTGGTGGATCACAGGGTGGTTGGCCCTCAATTTACGTGGACTAATAATCAAGTTAGCAGCCCTCTTGCCAAAAAGTTGGATCGTGCACTAGTGAATGAAAAGTGGTTTGATCTGTTCCCAGATTGTCGAATTGATGTTATAGCTGTACATTTTTCAGATCATTGTGGGATTTTGGTGGCATCGAAACCAACTCAAAAATCCCTTCCCAAACCTTTTAAGTATTTTGATTTTTGGGCGGATAGCCCTGAATTTCTGCCTCTTGTTAGCAAAGCTTGGGATACACAGATTGATGAACATCCCCTACAACGTGTTAGGATGAAACTTACTGCAGTCAAGAAGGCTCCGAAGCAGCTGAATAAAGAGAAATTTGGGGACATTAGTGTAAAGGTGAAGGAGACATAAAGGGCTCTAACTTGTGCAAAAGCTGTTGCTTTTGAATCTCCATCTGAGGAGTCTGTCACTCTGATATCACAACTGCAGGTTCAGCTGGAAGAGTTCAGGAAGGCTGAGGAGTGTATATATAAACAGAAGTCGAGGATTAATGTGTTGGAGTTGGGGGATAAAAGCAAGATATTTCCATCAAGCAGTTAAAATACATACAACAAAGAGGGCAATTCGCAAGCTTGTAACTGCTAATAGGGATGAAATCACAGACATTGGTAAAATTGCAGAGGAGGCTATCTCTTTCTATAAGAATCTATTTGGAGTCAGTGATCCTAGTGTTCATCCTGATAGAGGTCGACTGGAGTTGTTGGTTCACAAAAGGCTAGGCGCTCAGGAGGTCTCTTTTCTCACTGCTCCTATCACCGAGGAGGAGATTCAGGCTATTGTGCTTCACATGAACCCATACAAAGAACCTGGCCCTGATGGGTTTTCAGCAGGTTTTTATAGAAAGGCTTGGCCAATCATTCGTGCTGATGTCCTTGCGGGTGTGATGGATTTCTTCTCCTCTAGGCGATTACTAGGTAGTGTTAATGCCACTGTTGTTTCTCTGCTTCCTAAAATACCTTCAGCATGTGCTCTCAAAGACTATAGGCCAATTTATTGCATTAATGTTTTATATAAGATTATTGCTAAGGTGTTGGCTAACCGTCTAAAGAAAGTACTGCCTAGGGTAATTAGTGGTAATCAATCAGCGTTTATTGAAGGGAGGAGAATAGTAGATAACATTTTAATGGCACAAGAGCTTGTTAGTGGCTATCACAGAAAGAACTTATCTTCTCGTTGTGCTATCAAAGTGGATCTTATGAAGGCTTTCGATTATGTTAATTGGGTTTATTTGTTTATGATGATGGAGGTTATGGGGTTTCCAGCTTGTTTTATAAACTGGATTAATTTGACAGTCAAAACTGTAAGGTTTAGCATTAGTATCAATGGGGGGCTGTGTGGCTACTTTGGTGCACAAAAGGGTGTTAGGCAGGGTGATCCACTCTCACCCTGCCTTTTCACCATTGCTATGGAATGCCTCTCGTTATTATTAAATGAGTCTGTAGCTATAGGGCGATTGCCATACCATCCACAGTGCATAAAAATGAAGCTAACTCATCTGAGTTTTGCTGATGATCTTTTGATTTTTACAGAGGGGTCAGGGACTGTCATATCCAAGGTGCAGGAGACGCTTTCTGAGTTCTATACTTTGTCTGGTCTGAAATGCAATCCTACCAAATGTGAGGTTTATTTTGGGGGCATGTCAGTGATGTTTAAGAGCAGGGCAATCCAAATGACTGGTTTTCAGGAGGGGGTCCTTCCAGTGAGATACTTGGGGCTCCCATTGATATCAGGTAAACTATCTGTTGTGGAATGTGAGAAGTTGGTAGCAAAAATTACTCAAAAAATAATGTCTTGGAGGGCTAAGCGGCTTAGTTATGCTGGCCGTCTCCAATTGGTCACTTCTGTCTTAATGGGGGTCTTACAATATTGGATGCAAGTCTTTTTGCTCCCAAAGAAGGTTCTGAAGCAGGTACAAAGGATCTGCTCCAATTTCTTGTGGCATGGTGAGGGGGAGGGCCTGGATCAGGACCTACGAGGGTCAAACAGGGTTGCATCTGGACAATAAGGTCTGGTTCTAGTGGCTCCTGGGCCTGGCGAAGGATTCTGAAAACTCGAAGTGTACTACAGCAACACTTCTCTGTGCAGGGGGAAACAATACTCTGGAATCAGGTCCCTATGCCAAGGTTTCGATTAAGTATTGTTTGGGAGGTGATCAGGCCTAAATGGCCTGTTGTGGAATGGCATAAGCTTGTATGGGGGCATGGTTTTGTTCCCAGAAACAGTTTCCTTGTATGGACAATTCTGCTTGATGGAATTGTCACCTCTGATAAACTGGTGAAATGGGGAAAGGTGGTGGATGATGTGTGTGTCTTGTGTAAGCAGGGTCAGGAGACTAGAGAACATTTGTTTTTTCAATGTTCATATGCAAGAGAGGTGATGCAGGGAGTTTGTTCTCTCAAATTTTATAGAGCGTCATGGTCTGCTACTGTGGAGGCTGCTTGTGCTTTCTGCAGGCAGAAGAATGGTGCTGTTGCAGGGATGGTTTGGTGCTTCCTGGTGGCTTCCATCTGGAAGGAGAGATGCAGGCAGAAACATGGCGGTCGATCTCATTCAGTGGCTGGTTTGCAGGAGTTAATCAGGAATGATCTATTGATCACCGGAGCAGCTAGATGCATACTTGAAGACATGGCGTGTGTTGGCATCTCATGATTTACTTTTCTGGTTGTATTCATTTGCTGGTGACTTTGTTGGTAGCGGTAGCTGTTTCATGCAGTAGTGGATAGGTGAGATTTTGTGGCTTTTTGGGTATCCTTGATATACCCCTTTCGTTGTAATTGGTTCTCCTAGCATCTTGCTAGT